ATTGAGATGTGAGTTTTCTCTTTTATTCTATCAATGTAACATGTTGTATTCATATGTTTACAAATATTACATTTCCAGTTTAAACCCAGTTTAGTAATGACCTATTATTTTTTCATATGTTTATGGATTCAATGTACTAATATTTCATTTAGAATGTTATGAAAAAGATTGAACTGAATGTTCCTTTCTTGTAATGTTTTTGTCAGCTTTTGGATCAAAGTAATGTTGACCCCATAAAACAAGATGTAAAAGGTTCCCTTCTTTTGGTTTCTTCTGTTAAAACTCATCAGGTAAGTCAAGTGAATCTTGAGTTTTCTTTATGGAAAAATTTAAAATTATGGATTAAATGTTTATAATAGATGCAGGACAATTTAGATTTTCTACTTATGTGTCAGTTTATTACCATTTTTCCTTGGAATTTAGTTCAGTGCATCTCAGTTTCATATTTTTAGTAAAAGTTTTTCATAATCTCTTGTAATGAGCTTTTAGTGTCTGTGAGGTCTATGGTGATATTCCCTTTTTCATTCCTGATATTAATTTATTTGTGACTGCTCACCTTAATCCAATCAGATATAGAGCTAATTTAAGTCTGAGTTTCATTCCTGGGAATGCTCTATTTCAGTTCACACTTACTCCAATTAAAACCTTGAGGGACTTATAAAGGCCTGACTGCATTGGCATGCCCTGAACTTTCTATGACCACGTAAGACTGCTGAAATCTCTGAGTCACAGCTCTTACTTGTAGAATGTACGGAATGGTGATCACTTTGAGAGGAAAGTTAGCCTCTCTTGGTTTCCTTCTACTTCTGGATCATAGCTCTGCAAATTCTTAATGCCTTAATGATTCTGTAATGTCTTCAAACAGATGTTTTCATATTTTCCTCAGATTTTCTAGTTGTTTTCCATGGGAGAGTTGATCGAAAACAAATTATTCAGCTTTTGCTAGAATTTTTTCTTGTATGAAGTTAACATTATATCTCATTAATTACATTGAGACAACTAAAAAATTCTTCTCCAGTGAACACGGATCACATTTTATAGCATATCTTCAGTCGTTAGATGTAAATACTAAGTATAAGTACTACAGGCCTTTTTACTCAAAGGGATCCATCGTTACATGGATCAGTCTTTGTCACACTTTCTCAGAGCTTTACCTAACAGACGTTTCTAGTGGGAGAATGTTGGCTTTATGCAGATACCACAAGAGGGTACTTTCAACATCTGTTTTTGACTCCTTCTAACTTTCTTTTCTTTTACAGTTATTGGAATTAAAAAAAATAAAATTACTCAATTTTCCAACCTACCTTATATCAAGAATTGGTCTTGTGACAGTTCTGCCCAATAATGAGCAAGTAGAATTATATGGCAAGGCCATCTTTCTCAAATGAAATAAGCAAAGCATGGAAAGGAGGTTTTTTTCCTTCTTTTTAAATCATTAACCTCTTTATTCTCCCTTACTCTTGCTTGGAATGTAGATAATATCTGGGAGTTAGCCAGTCATCTCTAAGAAGGAGGCAAGAAGCATGAGAATAAACTAAGTAGTGGTTAAATAGTAACAACCTGGGTTCCTGACAGGATCATTCAGCCATTGCATCAGTCACAGACTGGCTATCACCAGACTCCTTATTAGATGAACTAATTAAACGTCTTGTTTTCCTAGGCAGTTATGAGCCAGCTTCCTGTTATTTGCAGGTGAAAACATTTCTAACTGATATAGACTGAGATTCAGGAGCTCTTGATTGTAATCCTAATATGACCACAGTGAAATGTCTGTACAAAAATAAATTGTATTTCTGTGTAACAGCAAAAAGACATTTAGAAAATGATATTAAAAGAAAAACATTGTACCCCTAGTGCCCAGATCTTGATCTCTTACCACCATTCCCACTGAAAGGGAACCAGAGATTTTTAGAGAAATGTCTGGTTCCGGGTCTGGGGCTGGAAGAATACGTGATGAGCATGGATTATCTTATTGTGCTAGAAAGCAAGGGCACACTGAAAGATTAATGGGACATGTCTAAAGGACATAGGAGGCCTCATGAAGGGTCCTCATTAGCTACATTTGAGATCATTTGAACACCAAAAAGAATAATGGGTGCTACTTATTGTAATATATTAAATAAATAAAAAGCCATGAGTTCACAGTGATACTCTAAAAACGAACAAAAAGATAAAAGGAAAAAGCTTTTTGTCTTATTGTGTTAGAATGAGTTTCTGGTTAACAGAGATGGAGAGTTGCATACAGAAGATTTATTGGGGGAAAAATCTGCAAGAGGTTGAGGAAGATAGAATTGGACAGAGGGAGAATTTACCTGCATGAAGTTACAACTGAGGCCCCAGACAATGCTACAGGGAGCTCTGGAGCTGGGATAGACCTTCAGAATGGTACCAAACTGAGGAGAGTGGGCTGGACATATGTATTCCTACAGTGGACGCTCATTGACTACCACCTGCTCCCTGAACAGGGGTGGGAGGTGAGGGTGTAACTATGAGTGAAGCAGTTCCCTGGTAGCTGAGAGCAGTTCCCAATGAGAGACATAGCTGTGAGGCCAGTGGCTGGTTTTCCCAGAAGCTGGGGGATAGTGTCGTGAAGAGGAGATATGAGCAGAGCACCACAATATTCACTACAACGATTACTTATGAAAGAATGCCACCTAATAAATATAGAAAGGTTATATAATTAATAAATCAGTATTTTGCAAGCCTCCATGTAATAATTGATTCAGGCAAGGAAGCTCAAGGGAGGTTGTCTTAGTCATCTTGAGTTGCTATTATCAACAATAGAAACTTATTTTTCATAGTTCTGGATGATGGAAATCCAATATCATGGTGCCAGTATGGTTGGATTCTTTGTCCCACTTCCAGATTACAGACAGTTGTATTCCTGTTGTATCCCCCTATGTTGTATCCTCCTATGAAAGTCCAGCTAGCTCTTGACCCTCCTTCTAAGGGCAGTAATCCCACTCATGAAAGCTTCTCATGACCTAATTACCTCCCCAAGGCCCCACCTCTTAAACCTCCACATTGGGAGTTAGGTTTCACATACGCATTTTAGGGAGTGGGGCACAAACATTCAGTCCATAGCAGATGTTAAAAGCATTTTATCAAATGCTTTTGATCTGGATGCTCACATAGAACCAAAATGTTACCCTACAGATTAATTGTTAATTGCATAGAAAACTTAGCATCATTAATAATGGGTTGCACAGTAGCATCTATGAAGTATTTTTGGCAATTATTAAGTATTCTTGTTTAAAATGCTTAACCTTAAATTGATCAAGCCTCTAGAACTAGCTTCAAGTCTATAGAAACTACAAGAGATAAAGGAAAATTTAGATGATATCATGAACAAACAATCATGACACAGAATGTGGGACATTCTACAAGCCAACTGGCTTGGTTTCTTCTAAAAGTCAGTCTTGGACTAACAGGTCAGGACAAGGTGATGATGACTGCGTGTGTTTTTTCCTCAAATAGTATCTTAAAAACAAAGCCATTATGACAGAGAAAGAAAAAAAATTGCAGACTACTGTTTGAAAAAAACAAGGTGACAAGCACCCCCCAGGAACCCCAGAATGCAAATGAATGAACCCAAACCATTGACAACAGTAAGACCTTTGCAAATCCTGCACGGGTTTGGCAGTGATACTGAAGAGTGGCGGAGGGAATATAGGGACATTCTGATTGAGTCTTATGAGTCGAAGAACGCTGAATTTGTAAACATTTCTGAGCTCAGTTACTTACTGCCTCAGTTTCTATGGCAGGGGTTACCCCTAGCCTCAGTCTCCTCACCTGACATACTGTCCACTTGGCTTGAGACCCTTCAAGATTCTTCCAGCTGGCCGCCTCCTGTAGCGTTGATCAGGCCCCTGGGAAAAACCACACACCTTTATCCTACCGAACAATGGATGTGCATACTGTCTACACTGCTGCTTTCTTTCCTCACCCTGACATTTCAGGCTGCCAAACCAGTCTCCTCTCTACAGGTTCATCCAGGTGGGAGAAGTCATCAGTCTATCTTCACCTACATCCCCAAATCCTGAGGACAAACTTTACCGAAGACTCTCTCAAGCTGCACCCCAGAGACAAGACTGGGTGGGTTTTTGAGTTTATGCAGCTCAGCAGCTGGGGTAGAGACAGATGTTAGTCTCTCCATCTGAAAGGCAATCGCCATTATTCTGAGTTATCTTGGGGCTCCCATCTTAGCATGAGGTGGTGAGGTCCACAAGAGACTGGCAAAGTGCTCTCTACTGCAAGATTTCCTTTCAAAAAATACATTTTAAAAAGGTATCTCCAACCTGCCCCTCAGAAGTTGGAGGAAGATGATATGCTGATAATCCAAGAACTTGTTGGCCACTTCACAGTTAAATTTTCCAGAATATGTGTAGACACCACATGAGAATATGAATGTGCCAGGAATTAATGGATACACATAAAATATTTGTATTCTTCCCATTTTTTCTGCCTCTAGGTTGGGTTATCTAGTATTTTGTAAAGCTAAAATAATCTTATTTCTCATAGAGATGTGTTTTTCTAGAAATAATAAAGGAAGTCCTACGGGCTGCCAGGAAATGACACTAGGTTGTAACTCTAATTCACCCAAAGAAATAAAAATCTCCACGAAAGGTAAATATGCAGGTAAATGTATATATAAATGTGTTTTTAAATATTTTTCTCTTAACAGATTTAAAAGATATTGCAATAAAATGAAAATTACAAAACTCTGTTATTGAACTTATAACATATAAAGGTGTAATATATATGACAATAAAAGCATAGATGGGGGGCCGGCCGAGTGGCATGTTGGTTAAGAGTTGGCTTGGGATGCCAGCTCTGAGCAGCAGGCCCCGGTTCGGATCCCACATGAGGGCCAGTGATGCTGTGCCCTCTACAGCTAAGATGGTGAACAACAGCTCGACCTGGAGCTGGGCTGCCGTGAGTCGCCGGCTACGGTGTAGGCTGAAGCCCCTGCTGCAGTGGGTGGCCATAAGCGACCTTGTGTGGCCGGCAGCCAGCATGAGCGGCCAGCAGCCAGTGTGAGCTGCCAAGAGCCGCTGTGAGTGGCTCTCTGGTGACCGGTGACTGATCTGCCTCGCCCAGAAAGAGTGCAATGATGGTGCCAACATGGGTCAGTGAAGCAACGTCCTCCACAACTAGACTGAAGAACAAAAAGGACAGCAACTTGTCTGTTCCCCTTCCCCTGATTCCCCAGCGCTGTTCCCTCCCCCAATTCCCCAATAAAATCTTTTTTTAAAAAAGCATAAAGAAGGGGAAGGAAGAAATGGAGCATTTTTGAAAACGAAGAATAAAGCTGAAGGACTTTCACTTCCTGATTTGAAAAAAATACGATAAAACTGCAGTAATCAAGATAGTGTGGTATTGTCATGAGAATAAACAATAGTACAGAACTGAGAGTCCAGAAATTAATCTTCACATTTATGGTCAATTGATTTTTGACAAAGGTGCCAAGACAATTCAATGAAGAAAGGAAAATCTTTTTAATAGATGGTGCTGAGACAATTGAATATCCACATGCAAAAGTATAGATGTGTACCCTTACCTTGCAACATAGACAAAAATTCACTCAAAGAAGTTCACTTATTAAAAGTCAGTTCTAAAACTATAAAACTTTTAAGGGAAAACATGGGGGAAAATTGTGGTGATGTTGGGTTCAGCAAAAGTTTCTTAGGTATAACACCAAACACAATACAGGAAAGAACAAATTGATAAATTGGACTTCATCAAAATTATAAAAGTTTTGTGCTTCAAAAGACACTATTAAGCAAATGAAAAGACAGTCCATAGACCATAAAAATATTTGCAAGTCATATTTCTGGCAAAGGGCTTGTGTCCAGAATGTACAAAGAATTCTTACAACCCAATAATAAGACAAACAACTCAATTAAAAAATGGGCAAATGTTTTGGATACACATTTTACAAAAGAAAATATACAAATGACTAATAAGTGCAATAAAAGATGCTCTACATCATTCATCTTTAGGGAAATGAAAATAAAAACTATAATGAGACACCATTTCATAGCCATTATAATATTGGTGGAGATGTGGAAAAACTGGAATCCTCATATATTGCTGGTGGGAATGCAAAATGGGACAGCTACTTTGGAAAAACAGCTTGACAGTTTCTTAAATAAACGAAGTTGCCATAAAGTCTAGCAATTATTGAGGTAACTACTTAAGAGAAATAAAAATATAACACACAAAGACTTGTTAGCTAATGTTCATAGCAACATTGTTCATAATAGCCAAAAAGTGGAAAGA